TCAACACACACACAGAGTCTGCTTTGGGAGTGGGGTCCAAAGACAATTTGGTCGATGGAGCCAGAAGCAGGATGAGTCAGAACCTGAGTTTAAGAGGAAAGAGATGGGGCTGTCCTGGAGCCCACACATTCCAGGACTGAGTGGCTGTCTCCAGGGTGGCACTGAGCCACATGATGTGCCAGACATGAGGAACCCAGGCCTGTGGTAAGACTGGACAGAAAGCCAGTGTGTGTCTGTGGATCATTCATTTCCCCTATTGTAAGATACAGAGTCCACCAAAAATATGTATACACACTTCAGGAAAAGAAAAAGAGTATGTTTCTTCAATAGATAGTGTTACCCTCATATGGAGGACCCTAGACGATGTCATATATCACAGAAAACCCACTACACTGCCGGGCCTTAGAGAAGAAATTGAAAATACGTGGTGGCCAGGGATTTAGCTCAATGGTTTTGCCGCCTGCTGCGCAAGCACAAGGACCCAAGTTCGATCCCCAGTACCAAAAAAAAAAAGAAAAGAAAAGAAAAGAAAAAATATACGTGCAGCAATCTCAATAACCAAGGTTACCCAAGTAGCAATTCCCCATGGTAAGGAATGTCTGGGAGCTCATGGCCACCACTTTGAGCACCTCTTGTAATTGTAGAGGCCAAAGGTAACTTGTACTAATCTCATGATGTCTCAATAAATTTAGTATCAAAATATTTATACAAATTTTTCTTTTCCTGAAGTGTGTATACACTTTTTTGGCAGACTCTGTATATTGTGTGAATATTCTACATATGTCCATCATATTAATAATAATAAATATAATTTATTTATTCTTACAAATCCACTCATTTATTTTATCAATGGACATGAGTTATTTTTAGCTTCTTAAAATTATGTTGCTTTGAGAAAGTGGTTTAATTTTTGTTACTGCAAACAATGCTGCTATCAATATTCTTACACAAGTCTTCTGATGCATGTATGAAGGGTCACCATTAGAGGAAAATACCTCATTGCTCTCTCCAAGAATGGTACAATCACATTTCTAGCCACAGTATGTGAGTGTCTGTTTGCTCCACATCCTCACTCATTCTTTTTTCATGATATTTCTGAATTAAAAAAAAAATCTAGTAATTTACATTTCATGCTTAATCTCATTAGTACCCAAATTTGAATTTTTTTTATTACTACCAAGATCAAGCATATTATAGAATGCTGGTCATTTATGTTTCTATTTCTGTGAAAGCTTGCTCAAGCTTTTGGTCCATTTTCATTTTGGGATAAATCATATTATTCAAACTTTCAGGACTTTGTCATATATTCTAGATAATAATCATTTGCCAGTTTTGTTTGTTTCAAATATCTTTCTCTATTTTGTGGTGTTTCTTTTCATGTTCCTTATAATGTTCCTTTTAAACATTTTTCATACAGGCATGTAACATTTTTATTATATTCATCCCCCTATTTCCCTCCCATACATCACCCTTTATAGAATCTCTAAATGAATAAAAATTTTTCATTTTCATTTGGACAGATTTATCAGTGTTTTCTTTATGGTTAGCATTTTTTGTCTTTTGGTAAGTCCCTCCTTACCTCAAAGTCATGAAGATATGTTCTTCCATTTTCTGCTTAAACTCTTAAAGTTTTGCTGTTTAATTTACTGGGAATTGGGTATGGTATGCGTTAAGGATCCATTTTATTTTTTTCTCTGTGGATAACCAATTGAACATGATTTACTGAATATCCTTCCTTGTACCTCTACTGATTATAAAACTACCTCCACCTTATATTGTTTTCATATTTGTAGGTCGGTTTCTGGGTTTTCTGTTTTGTTTTTACTGTTAATTTGCTTAGTCCTATTTTAATACTGTCTTAATTACATAACTTATGAAAAAGTGTTGATATCTGGAAGTCCAGATTCTCTTGCCTTATTTTTCTTTACAAGAGCTATCCTTAGGTTGTGCTCTTCAATATACATTACATTCAAATTGTCAAGTTCTTTGAAAAACTCTGTTGGGATTTTTATTGATCAGTTGGAGAGAATTGATATTTTTATGATACTGCATTTTCCATACTTGTAAAACAGTATGCCTCCATTAATTATGCCATTTTAATGTTTTATTCATTCATATGTCTGACATTACCCCAAAGTGCAAAGTCCTTGCACTCATGGAACACACATTCTGGTAGGGAGAAAACACTAAACAAAATATATAAGTAAAATAGTAAATAGGTAAAATAAATAAATGAAAAAACAAATAAGTAAAAGGTGTAAAGGCAAAGAGGAAACCAGTTATATGCCTATCTAGGGAAAAGTATGTCAGGCAGAAGGATGAAAAGTGTGCATAGGCTCATTGAGGCCTATCTGAAAAACTTTGAGGAGTCCAGAGTTGAGAGAGGAGACAACAAAGGGAGGAGGTGTAGATTCAGTCATGGGGGAGACAAGGTCCCCATTCACATGGATCACAGCAAGGCCTCTGCTCGGCCTCGGAGTGATGGGTCCTGATTGTGTGCAACAGGACTTCACTGACTCCGGTGTTGAAAACTGATGATGGAGGCATGGGAGGGGGAAGAGGGGCCTTCTATGAGGCCCCTACAATAATCCAGATGAGACTGACAGTGGCTTGCACCAGAGTTGTAGCAATAGGGTGGTAAGAAGTGGTCAATGGAAAGCAGCACCAATAGGATTTTTTGACAAACTTGGTGTGAAGTGAGAAAGAAGGGAAAGGCTGCTTAGTCCAGGAGGTTCCTTGCCAACAGGAAGATGCTGCTGCTGTTCACCAAGATGGGAAGGATGAGGGAGGAAGAGGCTGCAGGGACAATGCCAGGAGCTCTGTACTGGAGATCAGGATGAAATTTCTATTAAATATCTCAAAGGTGATGTTCTACAGTCAGTGGATAGCTGGATAAAGACAGGTTCGGAAGCAAGACTCTCAATGAAGCTGAATATTTGGAAGTTATCTGCATTGTGTCATTCAGGAGCCTAACAGAAAGCAATGGAATATTCAAATTAGGAACATTTGAGGAGGGATTATTTACAAAAAGACTATTTTTAGAGATGGAAGGTACAGGAAAACACAAAAGCCTGTAGAATCCTGGAGTTCTGCCTTAAATATCAAAGTACAGGGAAAAAAACTATTAGTGAAACTTGGAAGCGGAAAATTCAGCGAAGAAGGAGGCCTTGGGAAGAATCATCATTGGTGAAGTGTTCTCTCGCAGAAGGAAACAAAAGCCCAATGTCACTCTTTTCTTTCAGTATCTTTACCCCCACTTATCACTGGACACAGTAAACGAGAAGCCAGAAGGTACACAAGCCTGTTGATAAAGCACACAGAATCCAAGTTCCTAAGTAGAAACCAGGTGGAGAAAAGTGGAGAATAACTCTGGAAGGAAAGAGAAGATACCTGGACCAAGCAGATAAGATGGTAGCTAGAGCCATGACTGGATGATGTGACACAGGAATGTATACAGAGAAAAGATCATCTAAGGTCCAGGACTATACTCTGAAACATTTTTGTTCCTAGAGGATGGACAGCTGAGGTAGAGTCAGCAAAGGAGACTATGAAGAAGCCACCAGAAAGAAACACCAGAGAGTGTGTGTCTGAGAGGTCACTGAAGAAATGGTTCTACACAGTGGTTGTTAAACACACCACCTGCTGTGGGTGAGACTAATAGGATGCAGCCTCTCCACTGACAAGGGAGGTAGCAAGTCACAGGTCACAGCTGACAGCAGTGAGAACAATGGTAGTGCAAAAGGGACTGTAGGTATGACAGAGGAGTTAAACAGTTGAGAATGGGCAAGACTTTCAAGGAATTTTGCTATAAATTATATATAAAGGGATGGAGGGAACTGTGTAGTCACTGAAAGGAAAAGTAGATATTGCATATTGTTATTGTTTTCAAGATCAGTACATGTTTGTGTACTGATAGGAATGGCTCAGTACTGTATAAAGGGAGGAAATGGATGAAGCAGGAGAGACAAATTGGTGGGCAATGTCCTGGAACAAGCAAGGAGGGAGAGTGCTGGTGCCAGCAGAGGGGGCTCAGTTGAGTTTGAGGGTTCATCTCCAAGAACAGGAGGGCTATAGGAGGATGTGTACAGGTGCTAATGGGTGGACAGATTTGTGGGGGATTTTCTTGATTGCTTTAATTATCTCAGTGTAATAGAAAGCAAGATCATCTGCTGATGGAAGAAATCCAGAAGAAATTGGTGATTGAGAAGGAAAGGAAAAAACATGAAACCCTCAACTAGCTCAACAATTTTTTTGCTTGGATGTTTTCTAAAATAATTATGAAAAATGACATCTACTCATGTATTATAAGAGGACATCTAAACTTTTTCATTATAAATTTAAATCATTATAAAGGATGGACTTTCACTTAATTAACTGATTTGGGAAAAGAGTTTTGCTAAAGCAAAGTTATGAAATTTAAAAAAATTCTTTGGAGCTATTCATTAAAAAAATCACAAATGAGATTGGGGTTGTAGCTCAGTGGTAAAGTGTTTTCCTAGCATGTGCCAAGCCCTGGATTCTGTGTTGGATCACCACTACTCTCCCCCTAAATTTAGCTGACAACTTATTTAGTCCTGGTTTACTTTAAAAGCAAAGAACTGAAAACTGAGCTGCAATAGTTTATATATTACCCAATAATGAGTCATTCATTTTCTCAACATTTTGAGTTGTTTCTTTATCTGATTTCCTATGCATTGGGGCCATGATACATACTAAGATTCATAGCAGATGAGACACGTAACTTTTATTTTGGTCTTTTTTCATAAAGAAGAGGACAATTGTGAGAGGAGACTCCTGAATTCCAGAGATTCTCTGGCAATTTTGGGAAAGTGTATGTAACGTTTCTCCCTTAAAAGTAGCTTTGCCAACATGTCTCTTTGGAAGTCTTCATGTATTCATTTTTTAAAATTGTATTAAGAAGCCTAGCATGTACCAGGCCCTGGGTTCAATCCTCAGCACTGCCAAAAACAAAAACAAAACCAACCAACTACCACACCTACTTGCATTTGAGCTCCCATAGTAGTGCATGCCTGTAGTCTTGGTACTCAGGAGACTGTGGTGGGAGGATCCCTCAAGCCCAGGAGTTCAAGGCCAGCCTGGCTAAGGCAACATACTGAGGCAACATACTGTCAAAAAAAAAAAAAAAAAAAACAGTAGTGAAAAACAGGGGACATAAAACTTAACAGTGTAACCATTTTTCCATTTTTAAGTATACAATTTAGTAACATTAAGACATTCACATTGTGGTGCAACCATTACTATCAGAACTTTTTCATTATCCCAAACTGAAACTCTGTACCTATTAAATAGTAACTTTCCATTTCTCCTTCCTCAGCTACTAACCAATACCTTTCTACTTTTGTCCCTATGAATTTGATTAGTTTTTAGTACCTCATGTAAATGGAATCACATAGTATTTGTACCTGGTGACTTGATTATTTCACTTAGCATAAAGTTCTCTAGGTTCATTAATGCTATAATATATGTATCAGAATTCTACTTTTATTTTAAAAAATGAACAAATTACACACACACATACGTGTACATACACACACAGTACATTTTGTTTATCCATTCATCTATTGGTAGACAGTTGAGTTTTTCCCAATTTTTGGCAATTGTGAATTAATGTTGCTCTGAGTATGGCTATACAAATATATCTTTAAATCCCCGCTTTTAATTTTTAAGGTATATACTGTACTAAGAAGTGAAATTGCTAGATCATATGATGATTCTATGTTCATGTACTCATTTGGAAGTCTCTGGTAAAAGGGAATGGGAACAAGAATAGACCAGAGAAATACAGTATAATTGCAGGGAATTAGTAGAGCTGAGTTGAGACTAGCAATCTTGAATTTAAAATAAAACCAGTCAACATGTTTGTGTTATTTTTTCCAGCTATATTCAGTTGTACAGGTGCAGGTATGGGTTAGAAGAAATGTTAGATATGATTTTGGTGTAGCTATGCTAGTGTATTAAACTAAAAAATGCAAATGAGTTGAGGATATGCGAATAATTCTGAGTGATTATAGTTACTGACTATGGATTACAAGCTGGGTAAGGACTTCAAATGCATTTTATAAATTTTTCTAAACTGGCCTGGCAAATACTTTGTTAATTTCTAGTTTCTTTATAAATGAAAATCTTCAGAAATATGTTTTCCAGTTGTTAGAATGTACAAATAAAATTGGTTTTGTAAATTAATTATATATGAAACAAGGCTAAAAATATCTCTTATTAATCTCAATGCTTTGTATATAAATCGTTTTGGGTTCTGTTCATATTCTCCATAAACATCATCAGTGATGTTTCTTGATTTTCAACTCTGATGCTTTTCTTTCTTTTTCATGTCTTGCCATGTTGGCTAATAACTTCAGTATAATGTTAAATATAAAAGTGGTGCTAAATGACTACTATCATCTGAAGACTCCTTCTAACATATTATCATTAATACAAATGTTAAGTCTGCATTTTTGGTAGGCACTCTATCAAGTAAAGGAAGTTTATAAAAGTTGGCTAAAAGATATTTCATAGTGCTCACTCAAGAATCTGTGTTGAGCAAATACTGATTATGTGCTTCAGTATTTACTCCTGATTAAATATTGAAGTTTTTCAAATGCATCTTCTGAACCTGCTGAGAATGTTGAGATGAGGTGTTACGGTTTGGATCTATACTGTCACCCAAAGGCTCATGTGTTGCAGCAATGTGCAGAGGTGGGTCTAGAGAGGGAACTGGATTGCGAGGACACTAACTTCATCAATAGGTTAATCTATGATGAGTTCACAGCTAAATGGGCTATTAGGAGGTGGGGCCTAGTTGGAGGAAGTAGCCCACTGGGGCATGCCTTTGAAGGCTCTCTCTCTCTCTCTCTCTCTCTTGCTCTCTCTCTCTCTCCAGCTACCAGGAGGTGAACAGTTTTGTTCTGCCACACCCTTTCACTATAATGTATTTCTTACCACAGCCTCAGAAAACATGGGGTGAACAAACCATGGACAGAAACCTTGGAAATCATGAGCCAAAATAAACCTTTTCTTTTGTAAGTTCTGTATGTTAGGTATTTTTGTCACAGTGATAGAAAGCTGACTGACTATATGGTTTTTCTCTAATAATTGGTTAATGGGTAGGTTAAATTTATGAATTTTAAAAATATCAAAGGACTCATTCCTTATATATAGTAATCTCAACTTGGTCATGATATAATATATATTTTAATGTTACTAATAGTCATAACAGTCAGAGATATATGGAATGTATGTAAGGTTTACACCCAGCAGTAGCAGGACAAGGCTTCAAAGCCTAATCTATCTGATTGAAAACTTGTGCCCTTTCCATCAACCATTCTCCTTGAAGTCAGAGACCAAGTCTTTCTTACACATCTCAAACACCCCAGGGGAGTGGAATATTCATAGTGCACATTCAAGAATCCCTGTTGAACAAATACTGTATGCTTCAAGACCCTGGATTCTTTAAAACTTCCTTAGTTACAAAACAAAACAAAACAAAACAAAAACAAAAATGCCCAGCCTGGGCAACACTCTGTCTCAGAATATTTAAAATTTTTAAAATAGCTGGGAATGTAGCTTTTGAAAGCCCTAGGTTTGGTCATCAGTATTAAAACAGTGGTATTTTCTAAGCAGACACATTATAAACAGATTGGGAAGAATTCTCTCCACTTAGAGAAAGAAGCAACACATACAAAGACACATTTGAACATGGACAGACCAGAAGACCAGGTCCCCAAAGCTCGGTAAAGAGGAATCCTCTCTACGGCACAAGACCCTTGGACGGGGCCCTAGGCATGAACAAGGGTAGGAGATTGTACACAAAACTTTTGCCAAAATGGAATGAAGGAAACAACAGTCATAGCCAAAATAATATTTCATTGCAAGTAGAAAAACAGGGAGAAGAAACTACATTGTCACCTCTTATGAGAAAAGCAAAAATAAAGTTGTAGTTCATCCTTAATTTTCTACCTTGTGGGCAAAAATAAAAGGAAAATTACTTCTGGGCAATTCTGCACGTATTATAGAATAATGAGGCATCTTTGGCAGTTGAACAAGAAGCAGAACAACAAATGTTCTCTCCAGAAAAGGATAAGACAATCTTATTGTTCCCAGAAGTGAATCTTACAAAAAAATCAGAAGGACAGACAGTGAGATGCACCATCATGACCAATCACACAGCGTGAGAGGAGAGACAGAGCAACACTCGGGAGTTTAGCACTTAGGAGGCTGATCTGATCTACACACGACTCCCTCACTGCTGCCCCCAGGCCCTCTCTACTTGCAGCACCAAATCGAGTCATTTCACATTAGCTTTCTTTTCTCTCTCTCCCCCCACCCTCCGTCTGCAGCTGGTCATTGAACAATCCAACAAATTATCTCATGAAGCCAGGTTGATCCTAAACTCTCAAACACCATTAAACCAACTGACTTTCAAGGTTGGCTTCCAATTGCAGGTGTGGTCACTCTGTATTTCTGTGTTGGCAAAGTCCTATGGTGACCCCCAAGATCCTTTCCTCTCACCTTCTATAATCCCCTCCCTTTGAGTGTGAAAGGAACCTGGGAATATAATGAAGTACCATTTTCATAATTATGTCATATGGCAGAAGGGATTTACAGATGTAATTGAGAACCCTAATTAGTTGATTTTTTTTCTAATTAGTTGATTTTTAGTTAATCAAAAGGTAGATTATCCTGGATGGTCCTGACCTAATCAGGGGAGCCCTTACAAGAAGCAGAAATTTGAAGTTGGTGTTACAGAAGCAAGTAACCATGTGGTGAGTTGCTTATAGAGGAGGACATGTGCCAACAACCTGATGGCAGCTCCTGGAAACTGAGACTGATATCCAACCATGAGCTAGCAAGAGGCTGGAGAGTTTAGCTCAATGACCTCAATGAACTGAATTCTGCCAACAGCCACCAAGGTTGGGAGGAGTCCCAGTCTCAGATAAGACAGCAGCTCTGGATGACATCTTGCCTTCAGCTGGGTGAAACCCTGAGCAGAAGACCAGCTCACTCCTACCCAGGCTGGTGGTCCATAGAAATTGTGTGATAATAATGTTTTAAGCCACTAAGTTTGTGAAACTTTTTAAATGTAGCAAAAGAACACAGCTATCCTTCAGCTGTGAAGTTTGATGAATATCCCTAGTCTGAGGTTTTGAGATGTAGTGAAGACTTATTAGATAATATGGCAGAAGAAGCTAATGGACTTCTGTATAAGTTGGGGGAAAGAGTCTCATTTCAGTTGATGGAATGTAGCCAGGATTCATGCTGTTCACCAAGTAGTTCTGGTTCTTCCCCACTCTAGCCCTGCACTGTCTGATGTCTTAGTGTGGCCCTTGTTGGATAGAGAACGTGTATCATGCTGGTTAGTGCAGTGGAAGCAGAGAGCTCTCATCCCTTCTGCTATGGTGTAGAGCAATGTTCCTGATAGCCTGGTTCTTAGGGGAAAGGCACATACAGTGGGTCCCATCTTCTGACTTGTGATGGATCTCTACTGTGAGTAAAAAATAAATCTGTTATTTTAATGCACTACAGTTTTTATGGTTGTTGGCCTAACTTCAACCATGCTGATTTAAATGGGTGAATTACTGTGCCACACAACTCAAAAGCACAGCCAGAGCCACAGAAATGAGAAGGTAGGAGGACATACACCTTTCTTGTTTTTGTATATCTAAGTTATTTTCACTCATTGTAAAAAATAAACCAAACCCTCAAGCAAGTGCAAACAGAAGAGAAGAACATGAGAATGCCAACCATCACCCATCTACACTGAAAAGCATGACAATCCCAAGAGCCGCTAATGTCTCAGTTAGAACCAGAGGAGTGGTCGACTCAGTCTTCAGGAGAAAAGAGCAGGAAGCTGCTCACTGACAACTCTTCTCAGAACAAATGCTATTACTAGCCATTGGGATTTCCATACTCTCTTGCAAGACCCTAGAAAGGCAGAGTCTTCATCTCTCTCCTGAGAAAGATTGTGAGGGATCATTGAAAGGGAGTGTGTCTGCTCAGCAAAGACAGACAACACAACCAAGGGTTCTGATGAAAAACAAATATTATCATAGGAGAAAAGAGATGAGTAGTAAAGCCCTGATTTTAAAGGGGAGTGAAGAAGCA